ACAGGTTTCTCCAGGATGCTGCACCCGTGTGTGGGATCCTGCTGTGACCTCACAAGGATAAACTGGAGTGTGGAGTTACCTTGTGGGTGAACTCTGCACACCAAAAACCCCACAGCTTCAGTGACATGGCCCCTGTAATCCCATTATTCATCCCCAGGCATTTGTGGAGCTCTGCTGGCCTGACAGTGCTGCTTTTAAAGGGGCAACACTCATCCTTTCCAGCAATTGTTTGATCCTCAGCATGGGACAGGGGGAATGGTTTCAGTATTTGTGCAAAGCCTCTGGGAAAGGGAAGGAGAATGAGGATTTCTGGGTTCTGGCTGAAATTGCACTAAATATTCTGGGAGGGTTTGAACAGAGAAATGTTTAATGGGATAACATCCCATGGAAACAGGACTGGGGGTTTGCATCTCAAGCCAAGCCCCAGGGATGAGTGTGGGGAGTGAGTTCATGCCCTGCAGAGCAGCTCAGCTTTCGTGCCCCACCCTCTGCCCAGCTGTCACCCCCCAGATCTGCCTCCACAGGACCTGTCACCAGGCAAGGAACTCCCAAGCCCTTGGGAGGACAAGGCAGCCTTCCAAGGAGCAGTCACAGCCCTCATCCCATCTTCCTTCTCCTCCTTGTGCACATCATCCTCTCATGGAAACATGGAGTTGTTAAGGTGGGAAAAGCCCTCGAAGGTCATTAAATCCAGCTCTTAACTCAGCCAAGGCCACCACTAAACCATGTCCCCAGGTGCCACATCTACATGGTTTTAGTCAATCATTGCCAGGCTTTGCTCCTTATCTTTATTTTCTGGAGGGCTTTGCCTTCCAGCTTGTGTGAAATCAAACAGATTCCTCGAAAAAGAGGGAAAACAAGAACCAGTCAAAAAATGTAAAGCTCGTTTGTAAGAGAAAAAAAAGCATTTATAACTCACTCACACCCCTCTGCACAGTGGCCTCATAATTCTCTTTTAGATGCCTTTTTTTTTTTTTTTTGGCAGCAGAGGCTTTTTTAATCCCACATTCTTCCAAATATTCAATGAAAGCCTTTGTTGGCATTTCTTAGGTAACTTGATACACCAAGAAGAAAGAATGACCCAGGGTCACTTCCATAACACCTGTGATTGCCTCCCTGATAAAATGTCAGCGTTTGTTGAGAGACACAGAAAGATATGAACAGAATAATTTATTTTCTTATTGTAACTCAGGTGGGAGAATAAAACCTGCCAAGTGACATTGCTCTGCTGGGGGCACAGGTTATATGAGAGGAAATAGTGGGGTTTTTTTGATAAAGGTAAATGACCACAATCCTGCCAACAATTTGAGAGAGATTTCCTGTGAGAAAGAGACAGATTCACTCAGAGATTGGTACAAAGGTGACTTAATCCTCTCCAGACAGCCAAGCTGAGTCTTACTGCTGGCTGGGAGCACCAGGCAAGGTCCTCCAAGATGCCTCTGTAGTGTCAGAGAATCATGGAATGGTTTGGGTTTGAAGGGATTTAGATACCAGAAAAGAATTAATTCTTCCCTGTGAGAGTAGCGAGGCCCTGGCACAGATTCCCATCCCTGGAAGTGTCCCAGGCCAGGTTGGATGGGGCTTGGAGCAGCCTGGGGTAGTGGAAGGTGTCCCTGCCCATGGCAGGGGGGTGGGAGAAGATGATCTTTAAGGTCCCTTCCAACCCAAACCATTCTGGGATTCTCTGATTGCCTGGAGGAGGAGGGATTATGGCACAAACTGAAGCTTTGGCTCACACCCTCCTTGCAGCAGCCCTTGTGTCATGGAAAGGTCTCTGCAGGAATATCAGGGTCTCTGTGGGATCTCTCAAGGGGAGCTTTCCCTCCTCCCTTCCCTTCTGCATCTTCATGCACAAGGCACCAGGCCTGGAATAATTGACTCCCTTCCCCCAGAGCTACATCTGCCCCCACAAACTGAGCAGCTCCTTTTCAGGGAAACTGATATGGTCTGATCACATCCACGCTGCTAAAATCCAGCAAAGGGAAGTTTATCCCAAAACACAGAATCACAGAATCCTAGAACTGGCTGAGTTGGAAGGGACCTTAGAGATCACCCTGTTCCCACTCCTTCTGGTGAGGCTGTTCTGCTTCTTTCCCACCTTCTTTTCTTTGCAGCTTTTGTGGTTTTGTTGCTTTTCTGTGAGGAGGGAAGTGGGAATTGTCTTGATCTGCTTTTCCAGCCCTGCCTGCTCCTGTTTGCCAGGCTGAGTCCCACACCAAGTGTTCACCTCCTTCCTTCACTACCCACAGCATCCTGAATGAATTTTCTTAATTATGTGTTAGATTTTTTTTATTTTTATAAAAGACCTTTTTCCTTTCATTACTTCTGAATCTTTTACCTTCCCAAGCCAGGTGCCAGGAGAGAAAAAAATACCTCCAAAACACTTAGATCATTAGCTTGGAGGTTGTAGTTCTCTGTCCTGTGGGAAACTATGGAGGTCCTATCCTGAGAGCCACTTCAAATCAAGATAAAATAAGCCACAGGGGAGGTGGAGTCTGTCATGGACCAGCTCTGATTTATGCAGGCTGGAAAGCCAGGCTGAGTATTTGAGGATCAGTTATTTGGTGCTCTTTTAATTGGTCCTTTCCACCTCTAATTGCTCTTTCACTCGGTGGCTGCTGCCTTATGAGCAAAATTAATTTGGGCTTTGTTTAATGTTGAGATGGAGACTCTGAAGCCTGAGAGATACCGAAGCCAACAGCCAACAGCCTTGGTACAACTTTAATTTCCTGGTGCTCCTAAAAACGTGAGCAGGCACAGAATTTCTCCATTGTTAAAAATTCCCCATCCTGAGCTGTTTTTTTTTTTTTTTTTTGGGATGCATGGCTGGCTTGGAAGATCCCTGTCTCCCTCACAGATCAAGCACCTCTAGGTGAGTTCACACAATCAGCTAGGTGGGAAAAGACCTTTGAGATTGAGTCCAGCCTATGACCTAACACCACCTTGTCAAACAGACCATGACACATTTTTTAAACACCTCCAGGGATGGTGACTCTACCACCTCCCCGGGCAGCCCATTCCATGCCCAATCACCCTTTTTGTGAAGAATATATTCTAATGTCCAGCCTAAACTTCCTCTGGAACAGCTCAAGGCTGTGTTCCCTCATCCTGTTGCTGTTCCCTGGGAGCAGAACCTGGCTGCACCTTCGGGGAGTTGTGGAGAGTGGTGAGGTCTCCCCTGAGCCTCCTTTTCTCCAGGCTGAGCCCTTTTCCCATCTCCCTCAGCCTCTCCTCACAGGGCTTGTGCTCCAGACCCTTCCCCAGCCTTGTCACCCTTCTCTGGATGCATCCAAGCACCTCAACATCCTTCCATTCCCCACGCCCCAGCTCAGCCTCCAGCAGGTGTTGCATTGTGCTTCTTGTTAATGGTGTGTTCTGTTATTGCTCAAGTTAATGATTTAGTCCAAAATTATACCCTCCCACCCACCTTGGCAATCCATCCTGAATTACCTGTCAGTCCTATTTTGTGCCAACCCCCTGCTTGGAACTCCCCTTTAGAAATCCTCTAAATCTCCATGTCTCATTACAGAATTCACAGAATTCACAGAATTCACTGAATCACTGGGTTGGAAGAGGCCTTCAAGATCATGGAGTCCAACCCATGTCCTAACACCTCAACTAAACCATAGCATCAGGTGCCACATTCAGGCTTTTTTTAAACTCATCCAGGGATGGTGACTCCACCACCTCCCTGGGCAGACAATTCCAGCACTTCATCACTCTTTCAGTGAAAAACTTTTTCCTAATATCCAACCTAATTTTCCCTTGATGCACCTTGAGTCTGTGTCTTCTGTCAGTGCTGCCTGATGAAAGAGACCAACCCCACCTGACCAAAGCCACCTTTCAGGAGCTGTAGAGAGTGATAAGGTCACCCCTGAGTCTCCTTTTCTCCAGGCTAAACAAACCCATTAGTCCGTGTGACCCAGTTTTCCCCCCTACCTCCCTCATTGCACAGTGCCTTTGTGAGCCCTACCCTTTACCCCTCACAAGAATTCCTCCAATTTGCTAAGATTTTGTACCTTCCCCTTGAACCTCCTTCATATTTAAGTTGTTGCATCTTTGCCATTTTTGTCTTTTGCCCCCGGTATTTCCTAAAGTAATCAATCCTTTCTATCCTATGCAAAAGACCTCCCCCTGCTCCTTGCCTCCTTCAGACACAATCTGACAGCCAAAAAGGCCATGGAGCCACAGCTCTAGCCACATCTGATGCTGGATCCCAGAAACCTGGGGGTTTTGAGCTTTCTGTGCTTTCTGGTACTGACCCCCAGGAGAACACTGCTTTTGACTTGAGGCCTTGGAGAAAGCTTCTAAATTTGAGTGATGGAGTTAAAATCACGGCTGTGCAGTGAATTAAAAGGAATTAGAAGTGTGTGCTTTCACGTGGTGATGGCTTTTAAATTTGAGGTTTTTATAGTATAATAATAGGTATGGGACAACATGGAGAATTTGGGGCATTGTCTCTTTCTTTGTTCATCTTTCTTCTTCCTCCTTCTTCTTCATGGATTTCAGCTGGTGGTTTCTGGTTGGTCAGTCAGTGTCACACTAAAGGTCATGGGAATTTAGTTATTGGGTCAAAAGTATAAATAATATAGATGTTAATTCTCTATTAGACTGTTCAGCCTTAAAAGACCACGTAGCATCTGCATCTTTCACCATTTTCCCTCACTTCTAGCAAGTAGCTGGAAGTGCTGTCGAGCCCTCTGTACTTTTGGATAAGATTTAATAAACAGCCAAGCCCGAACACGAGAAAACCGAACACGAGAAAATTTCTGTTGTGCTTTTGTTAACCCTGGCTGTGAGTGAAGGCACACAAGACTGAGACAAGCCACCAACCAAGTGGTGCAAAGCCCCTGCATTGCTGTTACCATCTCAGGCCTCCTGTTCCCAGAGCGTGACCCACTCTGGGCACGGGACCGTAGCGGCAAAGTCGTGTCAAGCAGTGAGGCAGCAAATTTTTTCACTAAAAAAAAAACCAAAACCTCTTTTTCTCCTTGTTTCAGGCAGAAATGCGCCTGCAGGACCAGCAGCTGGCCAGGCAGCTGATGAGGCTGCGCAGCGACATCAACAAGCTGAAGATCGAGCAGACGTGCCACCTGCACCAACGCATGCTCAACGATGCCACCTACGAGCTGGAGGAGAGGGACGAGCTCGCTGACCTCTTCTGTGACTTCCCCCTCGTGAGCTCCTTCAGCCTCTCCACGCCCCTCAAGCTCATCGGGGTCACCAAGATGAACATCAACTCCCGCCGGTTCTCGCTGTGCTGAACTGGGGGGGAAGGAGAGGGAAGGATGGGGGAGAAGGAGGGAGAGGGATCTCTCTGCCTCGCGGGTGGGTGAGGAGAGGCCAACGAGGAGCAGAGGGAGCAAACAGGGAGCCCGCAGCTGTCTGGGGGGCAGCGTACAGGTGGGCACTGGAAGGGCACGGGGATGCTCATGGGGAAGGCAGGACCTGCGTGGAAGAAGCTTGGAAAGCATCCAAACCCAACACATGCACTCAGCTCCTTTGCCAAGTCCCTTCTCCTCCTCTTCCTCCCACAGGACGCAGCTGGGTGTGGGTGGTTGTGCTCAGAAAAATCAAGGGAGGGGTCAAAAAATCATCCACAAAGCAAAATCCTTCTTCCCTTGCCCTCCTCCCAGGAGCAGCAATGTCACTCTCCTCCATGGATGTCCCCTTGGGCACCAGCCCTCAGCCTCTGCTGCTCCAAGCACAGATCCATGGGACTCTTTCCAGTGGGAAGAGCCCTCCCAGCAAGCAAAAGGCCGTGGGTTAAAGGGTACCAGCCCCAAGAAGTGGTGAGAAATGTGTTTGTTGGATTGCTCCATAGAGTCCAGCTTCATTTTGCCTGTGGTATAGATTATGGACTCACCATGGGCACATTCAGAGATTCCAGCTGACCAGAAGTCTCCTGTGTGCCCTGGAAGTCATACCCAGAGCAATACACATTTCTGATCCTGTTGGATCCTGTTGTCAGCCACAAGACACGCTGTGGTTCACCCTGCAAACAAGGAAAAGTTGTACCCAAGACCCCTCCTATCAGAGAAATCCCCAGGCTGACACCTCCCAACAGCAGCACCAGCAAACCCTGGGTCCTCTGTAGCAACACACATCCATCAGAGGGAGGAACTTCAAGAGGAGAAAGGGGACTTTTGGGTAATGAACTCAAAACGGGACTTAAATTTTAAGGGAGGAATTGGTGTGATGAGCTTTGGACCTGCAGCAGCACAGGAGGTTCCCTCCCTGCCTGCCCAGCAGATTGTGAGATGGATGCTGTATTTTCTTGCCTTTCAGTGCACAAGGCTGCCTGTACCTGGCACAGGGAGCTGAGACCTCTGGTGCTGCCCAGCAAGGGACTCCAGAGGTCTTGCCATGGCAATTTTGGGACACCTGGCAGCCAAGACAGTACAGATGAAGCATGGATGCCTTTAGGCTCTCCCTCCTGTGCCCACACCACTCCTGACCCTGTCAGAGTGCAACAATCCTGCTCAAGGTGTCCCTGCCCATGGCAGGAGGGTTGGAACCAGGAGATCTTCATGGTCCTGTCCAACCCAAACCATTGTAGGGTCTCAGCCCCACTCTGCTCCCCACCCCGTGCCCCAGCAGGAGCAGCTCTGGGCTGAGCAGACCTGGCTGTGCCCACAGCACCATCCCAAGGGCTGGGAAGGAGCAGGAGGAGCAATCCCCCTGCTCTGGGAGCTGTGGCTGTGTTTGATGTGCCTGTAGCTGTCTGTGAGCTCCGTGTGTGTGTGTGTGTGTGTGTGTGTCAGTCACTGTGTGTGCATCAGAGCCTGCAGGGCACCTCTCCCGGGAGGCTCCAGGCTGGGTTCACGCCTTTGTTCCAAAATCTGATGGGAACTGGGGCCCAGTGAGGCTCCAGCGTGCCTGGGAAGGTGCAAGGAGGCTTCCAGACCTGGGGTTCCACGGGGAGCTTTGGGTTGGTGCAGAGAAGACAAATAATTCATGTGCCACCACAGGTCTGCATGGTAGGGACAAATTAAGGGGCTCACAGATGCCCCAAACCCTGTGTGATGCCTCCCCAGCCACCCCAAAGCTCCCTGAATAGCTTTTCCTTCTGCTAAGGAGGGAGGAATTTTAAGCACCAGAGCTTTATCTATACCATCAGCACCATGCCTGGGTGCTGAATCTTGTGCTCCCCAGGTGAGGAAAGTTTATTTTGGGTTGTGACCAGACTGTCCCTTGGCCTCTGGACAAGACAACCAGCCACGGTGCCATTCAGTTTACTAGGAACAGCCTTATTTCCCCATGGACATCTTGGAAAAAAAAAGACAAACCTCATTAAAATTCTTCTTTGTTTATTTTTTTTTTCATAAAAATAAATCAGTTTGTGTCCCACGTGTTGGTTTTCAGAGGTGTTTTTAATCAGAAATGATGTTTTTTTCCATAAAAATAATGCCTTGGAAAGGGGGATTGGTTGTCTCTAGGGTCAAGTGGAATCGAGTACAGGGTGAGCCTGCCTTTGGGCTCTTGTCTGGTAGCCAAAAGCAGGAGGTTAATTCAAGCACAGCCTCAGTGGGTCATTACACGTGGCATTAGAAAATCAGACGTCTGGGTTCCAGACGTGTATTTTCTGCATTAAGGGGGATGAGGGATGAGTGTAACTGCCAGCTGTTTGTCGAAATGCACAATTTTTTAATTATAAAAACTCTGTCTGTATTGATTTCTGCCTCTGGTGTCTCACTGTGCTGGGGAAGCACCAGGGTGGTGTGTTCCAGGATTACAGGTGTGCCAGGTTTTTTCCTGGCAGGTTTTTGTATCCACTCACAACCATCAGCTCCACTTGGCAGTCCAGGAGAGATGGGAGGAAAATGAGGTTGGATCACTTATGGTGTATTTGGACAAAAACATGGGAAAGAAAGCAAAAAATATATATATTTTTATGTTTTATGTTAGTTAGCTACTGAGTAAAAATTGGGTCCATGTCACAGTCCAGGCATTTAAAATATATCAGGCTAGAGAGAAAAAATAAATAAAAATAGATCTGATTTTTGCTGAATTTTGTTTAGAATAAAAAGTCACCCAAATGCTGGGTCTGATCCAAGAAACATGAGCACAGATTATTGCTCCCACCACAAAATTCCCAGAAAGGAGCCTGCAGGTCTCAGCTGTCCACAGTGAGATGATTCAAACCCTGGAGTGATGGTTCCTCTGCTGTGCCTTAGAGCCACATTCCCTCTCCCAGACACCTGGAGACAAAAGCTGATAAAAGGAAATCCAGGTTGGTCCTGCTGAAGTCCATCCTAAAAATGCTCCTTTGTGGACCAACAGATCAAAGCTGCCTCTCCATCTGGAGCAGCAGAGGCTGCTGCTGCATCTCTTGGAAGCAGGAATCTTCTGGGCACCGATTCAAGAGTTGTCCTCGGCCACCCAGCAGTGAGACACGTTCCTCATGGAATGGAAGAGCCAGTTTGAGACTAATCCATGGGAATAATTAAATGCATTTTTAATTTAGGTGGCCAGGCTGGAGGACTGTGGGTTTTTCCAGGCTAAGTGGAAGATAAAATTTCAGATTCGTTTTCCTCACCCCCAAAAGCTCAGTGCAAAATTTAAAAGGGGGAAGGGGGGGATCAGTCTGGCATTTTAATTGGATAAATTTTGCTTTTACTCACAACTTAAATACATCACTTAAAATTCTTTGCTTAGGAGGAAAATGTTCCCTGTGAGGGTGGGGAGGCCCTGGCACAGGGTGCCCAGAGAAGCTGTGGCTGCCCCTGGATCCCTGGAAGTGTCCAAGGCCAGGCTGGATGGGGCTTGGAGCAGCCTGGGATAGTGGGAGGTGTCCCTGCCCATGGCAGGGGGATGGAACTGGATAATTTTTAAGGTCCCTTCCAACCCAAACCATTCTGGGATCCTGCAAAAATAGTTCTAAAAATTTTCAATTACTGCTGAGACATTAACAGTTCATTTTCATTCAAATATTGTTTTGCTATTAACTGTTAAATTTTTTTTCCTTGAAGGACCCTTAATAAAACTTTTCCACTTTCTATTCTTCAGCTAGACCCAGTCCCTGAAGTTTTAGTCAGTCCAAAGCTCTATAATTTTTTACCATGAAAAAAATCAGTTAAAAATTAATTGGCCCAGATTTCTTTTTTTATTCTTTTTACTTCCTTTGGGTCAATTAAGAGGAAGCACAAAGAAATTCTGCACATTTTACTTCACAATCAGTTGCTGCTCTCCCTGGTATGGGCTGCCACAACCCAGTAATGGACAGGACCTTGCTCCTCTGTCACAGCCCCAAAGCAGAAATGATGAAAAGGGTCATTGTTCCCAGGAAAGCGTCTCATTCCTCACTCTTTTGGCACTGGGAAGTGCCATCCCATAATCAGTGAGTGATTGGAGGTCTCCCACAATCACCCCCATAAAACCTTAATTAAATTCAGTGGAGACACGGTCACAGAAATGCCACACTGCACCAGGAAAGCCAAGGAGTGACACATTCAGGGACTTAAAAACTGAATTTTCAGATTGACTCTGCTACACAGGGTTTCAACGATCACAGTTTAACCTTTTTTTATAGATACAGATGATATAGACATGGATATATATGGGAAAAGATCCCAGCTGGAGTATTCCCAGCACCTCGTGGGTTTATTTCACAGCCTGAGCTGTCTGCTGAGTGGGTTTTCCTTCAGATCAAGGCAGACAGGAGGAGGGGGAAGGAGAAAACAAGGGATTGCAAGGAGGAGGTGGCAGGCTCCACACCAGAACCGGAGCCAGACTCGTTTTACAACCAAGTGTTGTGTCTGGGGGGATGCACACATGGGAGGGAGACATCCCAAAACCCCTCTGGCATCACTTAGAGACCAGATGCTGGCCAGAGGAGCCCTGCAACAGCTCCAAGGAGGAGGAGGAGCAGCCAAAGACGTGCAAACCATTCCTAAAATCCTCACTCATCTCCGTGTGACCTGGGAAATCTGGGATGCTGATTGGCACCAGCACTTCCCTCCCTTCTCCAGGCATGGGACACTCCTGAGCCCTGGATGGTCACACTCACTCCTGGGAGCACCGGGTTCCAAAGGTTGGGAAGTTCAGGTGAAATGTAAATGTGGGATTTTGAGGTAAGCAACAACTGAATTTGGGCAAAATTCCTGATTTCAGCCTTTCATTTTTCATCATTTCAGTCCATTTTATGAGGAAGGATCAAGAAATCACCATTCACTCATCATTCAGGACAGCCAAGGCCTGGACTGGTCCCATCCCTGCAAAAGGCGGGAATTACAGAGTCCTTGTGCTCAGACAAAACATTCTGTTTCC